TTCCGGTGAAAGATGAGATTGTGTATGTTTAGGGAGTTTGTCAAATTTTGACAGTGTAGAGAAGGAGGAGCAAAAAGAACAAGGGAAAATGGACTATATGTATGGACCAGGAAGACACCATCTGTTTGTACCTGGACCAGTGAACATACCAGAACCGGTAATCCGGGCGATGAACCGGAACAACGAGGATTACCGGTCACCAGCCATTCCGGCGCTTACAAAAACATTGTTGGAGGATGTGAAGAAGATATTCAAGACCACATCTGGGACACCGTTTCTGTTTCCCACTACAGGGACTGGTGCTTGGGAGAGTGCCTTGACCAACACGTTATCTCCTGGAGACAGGATTGTTTCGTTTCTCATCGGACAATTTAGCTTGCTCTGGATTGACCAACAGAAGAGGCTAAATTTCAATGTTGATGTGGTTGAGAGTGAGTGGGGACAAGGTGCTAATCTCCAAGTCTTAGCCTCAAAGCTCTCACAAGACGAGAATCACACCATCAAAGCCATTTGCATTGTCCACAACGAGACCGCGACCGGAGTCACTAATGACATCTCTGCTGTCCGCACACTCCTTGGTCATTAATTCCTCTCAAACAATCTCTTTGTCTCTTGTGTTTCCTCTGTTTTAACTCACACTTACACTAGCGTATACATACAGATCACTACAAGCACCCGGCTTTGCTGCTAGTGGACGGTGTCTCGTCCATTTGTGCGCTTGATTTCCGAATGGATGAATGGGGAGTGGATGTCGCCTTGACCGGCTCTCAGAAAGCCTTGTCTCTTCCAACAGGACTTGGTATTGTGTGCGCCAGTCCCAAAGCCTTGGAAGCTACCAAAACCTCTAAATCCCTCAAAGTATTCTTTGATTGGAATGACTACCTCAAGTTTTACAAGCTAGGAACCTATTGGCCATACACACCTTCCATTCAACTCCTCTACGGTCTTAGAGCTGCTCTTGATCTTATCTTCGAGGAAGGACTTGAGAATATCATCGCGCGGAATGCTCGTCTGGGAAAGGCCACTAGGTAATTAAGTTTGTCTTGGTAACGCGCTTTTGATCCATATTCTCTCCAGAACAGAGGTGAAGACATACCCTCTTTCCATGCTAGTATTCGAATATGTGATCTCGAATATTTGATTCTTAAAGTCTTTTAGTACATTGACTCTCTTGATACATTACAACTAGAGTTTGCATTGTTAATATTATCATGTACGTAGGCTGGCGGTGGAAGCATGGGGGCTGAAAAACTGCACACAGAAGGAGGAGTGGATAAGTAACACAGTGACAGCAGTTATGGTGCCTCCGCATATAGACGGCTCGGAGATTGTGAGAAGGGCGTGGAAGAGGTACAACTTAAGTCTTGGTCTTGGTCTCAACAAAGTGGCTGGAAAGGTTTTCAGAATTGGACATCTAGGAAATGTGAATGAGGTACATACATATTGAGCTTTAGCATAGTGTAATATCAATCAAACTCTAATCAAAAACTACGAATCAAACGCAGTTGCAACTTCTCGGGTGTCTTGCGGGAGTGGAGATGATACTGAAGGATGTTGGGTACCCAGTTGTAATGGGAAGTGGAGTTGCAGCTGCTTCTACTTATCTTCAGCACCACATTCCACTCATTCCCTCTAGAATCTAATCCATTTGTCCCTCTCTTTCTTTCTCTTCCTCCCAATGTAAACAACTCTCATGTTTTCTCTTTTCTCCATCTATATCTTTACTACATTATCTATGTTTTTATTTGCTATCTCCAACAAACTTATTAAACAAAATGTCAAATATGTTTATTACTCACTATTAACTTTGTTTCAACACCTTCAACTTTTATGGGGTATGAGGGATGCTCTTACAATGTTAGTGGAACATAACTCGAGTCTAAAACTATGTTTAGGAAGAGGATATGTGGTATGTGGAGGTTGGTTTAAAACCAAGAATACGATATAGTTGGTACAAAGTCGATAAGGTTTCCATTTGTTAAAGCCATTGTGGTAGACTTATTTCAAGACGTGTCATAGCTGTGACTACAAAAGGGAAGTATAGGTACGTGACAAAAGGTTCACGATGTTTAAATCCTTTGCTAAGCCTAAATCCATGAAGGTCATGCATGTTGGACTATTCATACACTCTAGTTCGTTGTACGAGAGGAGATAATCAGACAACAGTGTAGCCTGCAAGATGCCGCCTCTCAGAACAATTATGACCATCTAGACAAGAAGAGAAAGAAAGAACTCGAGCTAGAGTTTGCTTTATGTCTGTGCCACAAATTTGTATACATTCACTGCATCAATAGATGAGCGATCAATTGTGTATGGACTCTTTCAATTAAATAAAATCTTATTTAGACATTGACGAATTATTTGTAGCCAATCATCATAATTGTATGATTTGACAACGCCTAAAAGATTTTACCATTGACAATTCGCCGATATTCCTACCAAAATGGAAACGATGGCTTAAGAAGTTCGAGCAAAGGTTTTAGTGGATTTTTTGAGTTTTTTTATTCGGCGGACGTAAAGATTCTCCTAAGAATTTGAACTTGTAAGTTTTGTGATTTTTTTCAAAAATTTACTTGCAATCTTTTACTTTCTTATAACACACACCGTAGAGAAACCAAACAGAAATTCCATAAGTCGATTTCTAATTGTAACAATATCAAATATCTATAAACTCTGGAATTATTCAGAAAAATAACAGAAACTAACCTAAAATAAAATCTAAAAAATAGTGAAAGAGAGATCTAAAAATATCAAAAGAAGATCAATGAAAGAAAATAGTAGTCAACGGAAAGTAATGCAATTGATTCGGTGTTCTAAAATAACAAAAACCAAAACAAGAAATTAATAAACAAAAAAAAAATCTTTTTTTGCTTATTATTATTTTTGGGTGTCTTTGTCAATTTGCTTTTCCATTTTCATCTTCATGCATTGCTTTCCTTCGTCGTCCCCTCCAAGGACGACGACGGATCTGTCTTTGTGTCCACCGAAATAACATCCTCTCCATTTCCTTAACTTTTTTCAGATTTAGTTTTGTCAAGAAAAAAAAATGTCTTTTCTTGCGCCTTGTCAAATCTTGGAGCTGAATATTATTTCGGCCCAAGAATTGGCGCCCGTGGCACGGTGTATGAAGACATATGCAATCGCTTGGATTGATCCAGAGCGTAAATTGACGACTCGGGTCGACAATACGGGTGGAACAAGCCCTACATGGAACGACAAGTTTGTGTTTCGTCTAGATGAGGAAGCACTTTACGATGCCACATCAATAGTTGTTATAGAGATCTATGCATTGCATTGGTTCAAAGACATTCATGTTGGAACGGTACAAACCTTGATAAGTGACCTTGTCAGCCCTTCTTCGGCTATGAGATTTGTTACCCTAGAGGTTCTTCGTGCCTCGGGCCGCCCACACGGCCTCCTAAACATTGCGGTGGGGCTTATCGATAACTCAGGCCAAAGCATGCCTCTTTTGTTTGAAGAAGATTTGTTGTTTCACAAGAAAAACATATCTTCAAAACCTGTAGGGTTTCGACGGTCAAAAAGTGATACAAGCTCAATGGTGGATTCACCAAGGAAGGTTACACAATCCCGTGTGAGTTCTACTACAAACTCAGGTTTTGAGAAAGATGAGTTTTCATCTGACTCTCAAATGGTTGTGTATGAGCCTCAAAGAAAAACCCCGAATACATTGTTGAGGCAAAAAAAGCAACAAATTGTGTATGGGACACCGATGAGGCCAAGGAACACGACAGCATATACCCCCAAAAGGAACAATATCGAATATGGAACACCAATGAGGTCAAGACCAATCGTTATTACAGAATCTGATTTAGGTCCTTCAGCCTCAGTGGTTGCTGCCCAAATAGCAAAAGAGAAGGCACTCACAGGGAAAGATGCTGAGAGTACTGTGATAAGTGTTGGTGAACGAAGCGTCGAGGGTCTTCGTTCTAAGCTAGAAAGGTGGCAAGCCAATCTACCAGTGGTTTTAGACGTGGGTTCAAGTTATCAACCAAGTTCTGACTACAAAACAAACTCTAACTTTAACCCTAAATCAAGTTACAAGCCCAATGAAATCGTGCCAAGAAATCCTCAGATGATTGGAGCTCCCATCCAAAAGCAAAGTGGGAGGAACAAGAAAGGAGGAGATAATGGATTGTTTTCATGTTTTGGTAACATTTGTGGCATTGAGTGTTCTATTGTTTGTGGTGGCTCTAGTGGACAAAAAGCAGCCAAGAAGAAGAAGAAAAAGAAGTGAAAAACTTCAAACACTATTCCTTCAATTCTAAATGATTCATTTCTCATTATGTTTCTATTTTTCAAGCTTGTCGATTTTGCTACTCAATAATCAAATTTATAATAGTAAGACAGGGAAAAAAAGGTACATTAATTATTTCATTACTTTTTTTATAGTAAACATGAAAATTTGGTTTAAACCGTTATGATTTCAAGAATATCAAAATGCTTATGTCAATCATTTTTCATTAATCAAAAAGGTGTACATGTAGATTTTCTTCTAATGAAACAATATTAGATTTCTATGTTAAATCCTATATAATGCGCCAATATTATCTTCTTTTCAATATTATGTATTTGTAATAAGCTTTGTTGTCTTGAAAAAACTGGACCTAAACCACACCGCTAAATTTAATTACTTGGATAGGTTGTCCAAATTAGAGATCTAGAATATTCTTTGGTTTGAACTTTACGGACTTTATTTCATAAACGTCTACATTACTTAGTCAGGGAGATACACATTTTCCTACCTATTTCTTAGTCAGCGAGATACACATTTTCCTACCTATTTCTTAAAATTTCTACCTTTACATTAAACGTAAGTAATATTTCTCATTTTCTTTATTTCCTACGTTGTAACTTTGTTACCTTGCTTGACTATCACGATATATAGTGTTCAACAGTCTTCGTTTATTCGTTTATTCGTTTAGTGCTTTATTGAAATGTGAAATTTTTTACCGTTTCAATATGTTCTGTTTTTATTTTATTTCCCAATTTTCTTTATTTCTTTATCTTTATGTTTCTTTTTAACTTTTATGTTATTATTAACTTTATCAAAACGGTAAGTGAGTAGCTAATATTTTCTAGTGATTGGCCAAATTTTTTCCTTTATAATTGTGAGATTTGATATTCGTTACAATGGGTTTGCATTATATATCAAAGCATCAATGAAGATAATTCTAAACACAAATGCGCGCATATAAGAAGAAAGAAAGAGAAAAAAAATGATGAGAGCTTATACTATAGTCTCTATGTTTATGTTAACATTGTTAGTGACTAGAGTAACATCTTCCCAAGTTGATGCTTCGTGTAGTTGGACAGAGATTTCTGAAGAATATGATTATTGTGGCGATTCTCTCATGCGCGGTGTTCCTTGGGTTTTTCCATTGAAAGTTTGTTGTGATACTATAAAATTGAACAAGATGAAATGCATATGCCAAAAGGTTACAAAAATGTTTTCGCAAAACTTTGACTTTAATAAGCTCTCCAAACTCTCTCATGCATGCGGCGACCTCTTAGTCCCTGGATCTTATTGCGGAGGTAAGTATCATTAGACTCTGCTTCCTCTCAATTCTCACTAGTTTATCGATCATCTAATTCATATTTCTTTTGATATTTCAGTTTACAAAATCCCGGAAGGCGCATAATTAAGAGCTAAAACACGCATTGGGTGGGATACTTTGTCTTTTTTTAAGAAAATAACTACTTACATTGTGCTGCAAGGAGACTATTATTATGAATAATGTTCGATACTTGATATGTATTTGGTTAAGAACTAGTTTTTTTTGTTTTACATTTGATTTTCTTAATCACATTGGTTTTACAGTAAATTGGATTTAGTTGTTAATTTCAGTCGAATAGTTATCACTAGAAGCAAGCAGACACTCGAAAAATATGACAAATTACAATAAAATATGAGAAAACATTACAACAATATACGTAAAATATTTTTGTCAAAAAACAAGGGACATATTACGACAAAGAAACACAACTCATTGGATCATTTGTTAATTTTTTTTATTATTTTTTCAATAATGTTGAGATTGTTATTGATTATGTAATTATTTGTCGTAATGTTTAGAGAGTAAACAAGAGAGAAATTTTCAAACAATCACTGGTTCTTGGTCATATTGTTTCTTGATTCTGTTTTTCAGTTCATAATGAGTCTCCCAATCTTAAGCTATGTGGCTTACCTCTTCTTTCTCCGGTGCGTTTAATTCAGATTTGCTTGTCTATAAGTTTTGTAAGAAAACAGAACATGTGATAAGATCTATTTCTTTATTAATCTGTTGTTTCAGGTTAAGTTGGTGTGATGCCAAAAAACCTTTTTAACAAGAAACTATTGCTTCTCTATTTTGTACTTAATCTTCAGCTAGGGTTCTCGGAGACAACCTCCCGGAAGGAGAAACCGAAAGCGAGCAGCGTTCTGAATCAAAAAGGCAGGTACATGTACCGCAGACGCAGAAGGCGGGATGGGTCCGATTTTGCTAATCAACTCTTTGAAGCTGTATCTTTCAGGAAGCATGTCAAAGAGATCATAACCTTTACATATATGTTTTTGTATCCTCTGATAATCCAAAAACTCCTTGCGTTTGACTCTGTCTGCATGACTATAACCTTTCATCTTGAAAACGAATTCGTTGAGTCTTCTGAAACAGAAGCTGCAATGCCACCCTGCGTCGGATAATATCAAGTCTGTTTGTCGGGAGTGCCGGTATTGAGTCCACTTCCTGCTGTATATATGAACAGAGGCTCTCCAGCTGCTGTAATCAACCGGGAACTCAAAGGAGTACATGTATTCCCTCATCTCAAGATGCATTACATCTGGTATCCCATCGCACCACTGTAGAAATTTCACAGTATGAGGGCTCGGAATCTCGTCTGCATCTGACATGATCACCGCATCTCCATCCGAAATTCCAGCTTCTCTAAGCAACCAGTTCATCGCAACCCGCTGTTGCCCCTCAAGCAAAAACGGGTCCTCATACGGCTGCCCCTTAGATCGTTTCTTCCCAGGAAACACTCCATGTACTATCTTACCCTCAGCAAAGGCGAATCTCTCCTTATTAGAATCAAAGAAAAGCGGCTTCGGGATCCCAGTAAACGTAGTGTTTGATTCCAAGATCACAAACTTCGAAACATAAGGCTCCAATTCCCGCCATCTGAGTTCAAGAAGATCAAGCTCATTACTGAAAATGATGGCATCAAAGACTTGCCTCGGTACTGACCGTGGTGTCCACCCATGAAGTTCACAAAGATGTCCCACGGAAACATTCTCCGCATAGTAATGCGGTATCCGTTTAAAAGGCGGTGGCGGTTTATCCCAAAGCGGACGGAAAAGATACGAAATGGTTTGCAAATTCGTCAGAATACCAAACAAACATGTCAAGAACAGTATAATCAGAGATGGAAACACAAGTTTAACAGGCGGTGGCTTCCGCAACGATCGAATCGTCATCTATGCTTCTGAAACTCACCAACTCATTTTCTTTTTCCCCTGCATCAAAGAAGAATACAACAGCTAAAGATCAAATTTAACAAATCTGACTAAACCATACTATAAACTCTATCAATCTCAACAAAACCTGACCCTAAACAACAATTAAGCATAACCTAAAGTTGATTCTTTTCTTTGGATCAAAGATATCATCAAAGGTTCCAACTTTATATTCACATCAATTCGAAAAAAAAAAAAAAATATTTGAATTGTTTAAACCTTTAACCCAATTGAGAATCTCAAACAACAGAAAAAAAAAAAAACTCACAAAACGGAGATAACAATGTCACAAAAATGGTACCTTTTTCGAGATTAGCGTCCAAATTTGAAGTGTATAAGATAAAGAAATGAGAACCCAAGAAGAGCGTGATCTCTTTCTGGGCAATTCGATTGATTGATGGAAGATTTTAGCTAAAAGAATTGTGATTGTTTCTCAAGAGCTATAAAAGAGACACCTTTGGGTGAATGTAAAACGACCACTAAACCTCGCTAATCTACGCCACATATATTTTGTCGAAATAAAACAAAAGTTAAAAGGGAACAAAAAAACAGGTGTATAAATATATATATAAAAAAAAATCTATCAAAACTAATAATAGAATAAGATCATGAATCTTTTGCAGTTTTTATTTGGTTTTTGAATTTTGAGTTTTGGTTTTTAAATGTTTTGGTGTAAATTTTAGTTTTTGCAAAAAAAATTGAACTGTAGCTTGTTTAATTTTTGGTTTTATGTATAATTTTTATTAAAAAATAGTTTTTTTAATTTTTTTGTTTTTGTTTTGTGTTTAAACACTACTAAAATACAGATTAAAAATTTTAGTAATAAACATAAAAAAATGAAAAGAAAAAAATGGCTATATCTATTTGTCTTTTGAAAATTTCTATTGGTTTTGTGTTTCTTCGGAAACATGGTTGCCAAAATGTTGCATTTGAAGGTTTAAGATGAAGATTAAGCGTCGATGGTCATAAAAAAGAAAAAAAAAAATGATGACAAACAAGTCGAGAAATCCATAGAAGTGATATTATTGATGGTTTAGTGACATCTTCATACATGTCAAGAGTTTGGTCAAAGATATTCAAGTCAAGTCAAGTCAAGTCATGTTTTAGGAGATTTCAGGTTATATATTATAAGGTTATTTACGAGGTATGCCCGTTGACTATGTTTTTGTCTCACGTTTTGACAAAGTAAGGGAGAGCTTTCAAGTTTTGACAATTATGTCATTTTCAGACGAAATTGTCCTCCCAGCGAAAACAATGTATAGTCATGGTGGACGAATTAGTTAAGCGGTTTGGTTACGTATATTGTATCTCGTTAGCTACAATACACGCATTATGTACAGTATACTCTCGTTAGTTACAGTGTAAAAAACGAAAATTAAAAATTAAAAACTAGAAAAATATATGGGAATTTGACGGAGAATTCACTGAGAAGAGCTCCTAGACCGAACACACGACCATTTGTTGCCTCCACAATCTGTAGTATATAGTAAAATGTTTGTAAGACAACTTAGAATATTTGAGAATCAATAGAAATTTTAAAGAAATTATTATGTTACCTTTAAATACATTTCATTCTTTTTTTCATGAGTTAGCTCCTCGGTTGGTGGGATTTCATCTTCAAAAAGATCAGCTACATTCTTCTCAAATCACTCACTAATCTGCTTTGCCCTCTCATCAACAAATGATCCATCAGGTCTCTTATGGGTCTCTCGAAGAACATCTATGTATGATGCATCTCCCGTTTTTTCTTTCTACAAAATATAAACACAAAAATTATAATCAAATTTTAGAAACTGTTTTTTATCTTGAAAAAATTAGTATTACTTACCAAAAGATCAGCAACTTTGGCATATGAACGTGAACCCGCTCGATGCTTATGAGGTCCCAAACCATTTCGGTCAGACATGCGGCTTTTGGAAGCTTTTTTGCTTCTCTCCTTAGCTTTTTCTGTTCCCCAATACTCAACCAGAATTTTGTATTGATCATCAAGGATCCAGTATGGCATTTTACCTCTTTCTTTAACTCGGCTAATCATATCAATTAGCTTAGTTGCAGCACATTTGTGAAACATCGTTTTCACCTCTAATTCAATTGTGGGATGCCAATTGAATTTCCTCTAAAAAATACAAAAAGTTAATATAATGTAACTTTATTATGCTTATAAGAAAAGTCTTACGACTTACAACAAAAGTCTTTCGTTAATGTATTTTAATATTTTTTCTTTACTTGGATAATGATAAATGCACGTCATACAATTTCTTTTGTTTGTGCTACTAACCATAATATATAGAGAATGATCACCTGATATACTAATTTAGATAAGTAATATATTTATTAAATCTAAACCGCATACAAAAGTTCATCAACTCTAAACCAAACACTGCTTTCGTAATTAAATAATTACATAAACCGAACCAAACTTATATGTTTTGCAATCAAACTGAATATTCAACAATCAAAAAATTTACAAAAACATTAAAGATATTTTAAATTCAAATAATTTTATGCAAAATAATTATATATCAGAATATAATTGAGTTAAAAAGATGTGAATATATATTAACGTAATTTTTGTAGAAAGTATATGTTGCAAAAGAATTATAAATGGTTGTAGATATAGTGACAAAAGTGTCACATATTCTGTGACATATATTTGCTATAATTTTCTTGCAAAATAGTCATAACTCATAATTGTTGAATATTTCTTGCAAATTCTGCAAGACATTTTTACATGTCATAATAATCTTGCTAATTTGCAACAGAAAAATGCAACAAATTGTTTTGTTGTGATTTTACAATAAACTTGCAATAAAATTGTAACGTGCACTCATCATTGCAAAAATATAGCAGAATTTGTTACAAATTTTTAACGAATACAGTCATTGCAAAAATATCGTTGCAATAACAGTGTTTTCTTGTAGTGAACCAATGTAATATATAGAGTTAGGCTTAAGTCCAAGATATTTGCTTGCCTCAAGACATAATGACTCATAGTTGGATGTTTAAAACATTAATTGAAAACCGTATTAAATGTTGAATGAAAATTCAAGTAATCCACATTCAATTGAAGTGTTATCATATATACTCCATCCATTCTTTTCTTTTTCCGATGTTTAAGAGAATGCACACAGATTAAGAAATTATTAAAAAAAATTTTAATTAAAACATCATTTATTATAATATCAACCAGTAGAAAACAATCTGCATAATATAAACCGTCAAAACCAGTTAAAAAATAATTAATATTATATTGAAAAATGAAAATATCATCTATTTAAGAACAAAAATATAAGCCTAAAACATCATCTAAAAAATAATGGAGGGAGTAATACAGAAAATTGTGCCATTTCCCCATGTGTGGGTACTTGCAGGAAGATAAGTACAACTATCATAGACAAGTGAACTTGACATTCTTTTTATTCATAGTGGAGGTCCAAGTGTAAACATGTTTGTGACTTTTTGTCCAATCCGTAAAGGGTGGTATGAATAGTGTGTGTATGATGGAGGATTTGGCTGATGAAACTAACATGGTTCAGGGTGAAAACGCAACAACGACCATATTGGAGGTTCTAAATGTGGATGAAAACAAAGAAAAAGTAGATGAAGAAGAAGTAGATGATAATACAAAGAGAAAGAGGATGAGGACGGTGAAGAGGAAAAAGAGGATGAGG